GGAGCTGCAGCGCGTGTGGCCTGCATGTGGGTGAGGCCACTCATGCTGTGTTCTGTCCTTCATCCCGAAGCTGTGACGGAGGAGGAGCTGTCCCGTGCACTGAGTGAGGGAGAGGAGATCACCGCAGCCCCGGAGAGAGAGGGCACAGGCCACGGCGGCCCCAAGCCATGCTTCACACTGAGCTCCCTCAGCTCCGCTGCTGAGACCGGCCAGGACCCGCTGGACAGCGAGGAGGAGGCAATGTGAGGCTGGAGGGCAGCAGGGCCTCCGCCCTTCCCTGTCCCCCAGGGTCCTCCCACGGGGAGCAAATGGGGCTTCCAGTGAGCTGCCTCTCTGGGAAGTGAGGGAGAGGGATTATCCAGGGCGAGTGTCCGTTCTCATCCATATTCTCTGGGAGTGACTCAGTGCCCAGGTAGTGATCTCAGTGGCAGGTCCATGTTTTGCCCAACAGCAGAGATTCCAGGGAGCAGGAGAGGGGGGTGAGCCAGGCCCCGTGCCCTGGCACAGAGAAGGCTCGCAGCACCAGAGCTTGTGAGGTGCAGGGAGCCCCTGGTGGGGGGTGTGGCCTAGGGCCACAGTCACTGGAATGGTTTGTGGGCACAGCCATCAGTGCCTGTACAGCCTTGGGCCCAGGAGCCGTGGAGGGGCCACAGGGCTGACTCTGCAGTGAGATACCGGCGCCTCCCAGGGCAGTTGGCTGTGCGTCACAAACGTGTGTGATAGAAGCTGGGTGCTTCTCTCCTGCTTGGCAGATCACACCCACTGCTGGTGCCTGTGGTGGGGACATTGGGATGTGATCTCCGTTAGGCATCTGCTGTCTGGCACAGGGCTTGACCCCATGGTCAGGAGCTCTTCCCTGGCGTTTGTGTACAGGTGCCCCCCACCCTGCCCCCGAGGCCCCGGTGGAAGGTATTACAGCTGGGGAGCCCCAGGGTTCAGGGAGGACGCCCCACAGGTGAAGTAAGTGCCGGGCTGTCCAGGAGCTGCCATCTGTAGCCCCTGACCTCATGGGAGTCGCCTCCCTTCTCTTCCCCCTGTGTGCCAGGTGGGATTTGTATGAGCCTGTCCTTTGCTTGGATGTGACCTGCAGACAGGGTTTGCAGAGGCCTCCAGTGCCACGAGCTCCCTGACCCTCACACACCTTTGTCTCCCTCTCACCAGCAGCACCCAGGGTGAACTTGGCCTGAAGCCCCCTTCCCGGGACCAGTTTCCTTCCTTCTCACCCAGAGATGCTTTGAGCAGCCACAGGAGCAGGGTGAGTGACAGGGGCTGCTAGGCGGCCACTGCTGCCTCTGCCCACTGCACAGAAATCGTGGGGAGGGAGGATGGAGCCTCGCAGGGCCTTGAAGATCTGTGCCCCAGGGGGAAGCTGCGTGTGTGGGTCTGCAAATGCGCATAGACGTGTCACACGTGCCCCACACGGAGCTGTCCTGGCCCCTCAGCCTCTCCTGGTCTCCTGGTCTGTGGAATGTGGGCCCAGGCCCTGCTGGGCTGAGGGCAACAGGAGTCACGTGGGAGAAGCGCCACATGTGTTCACAGGCGGGGCTCCTCCTCTGCTCAGATTCTCGTTATGTGCCGAATGGTCATTTGCTTGGACGGCCCACACCCCCGGGACCAGGTGCTCTGTGGTGGGGTGCCGCTGGCCAGGCCCCAGCCCTTGTGGAGGGAAGCAGCCTCGCAGTGCTTGGTGGGCTTAGTCCGCACCCCTCTCTGCCCCTAGAACGTCCTGACCGCCATCCTGCTGCTGCTGCGGGAGCTGGACGCAGAGGGGCTGGAGGCCGTGCAGCTGACTGTGGGCAGCCGGCTGCAGGCCCTGCGTCGGGAGGAGGTGCAGGAGCACGCCGAATGACCACAGGACCTGAGCGCCGCTCCACTGTCCACGGGGACCCCAGTGTCTTCCCCAGCCCCCAGGAGCTGAAGGGTGGCTGCCACAGCCCTGGCCCCACACAAAAGCCTCCCCGGTTTGCCACGTCGGCCGAGGGCAGGAGTGGGTGTTGTGCTGGCTAGCTGGAGCGGTGGAGATGCCTGTCCACACCAGAATGTCCCCAGGACTCCCCTTCTGTGGTCTGGAGGTTCTGGGCTGGCCTGGGCTCTTGAAGGGAGGATTTTGCAGGTTGTCCTCCCTAATAAAAGATTTTCCCACGGTTGATCTGGAGGTGACATTTCCCAATGGTCGTGACAGCCTTTCTGAAAGCAAGGGCCGTTTCTCGGCAGAATGAGGAGGTGTTCACGAATGGCTTTGCCGATTCCAGCCCTTGGTCCTTGGATAGATTTCTGTTGAGCAAGGGAGGCTTCCAGAATGCCGGCGTCCACAGGGACATCTGCCCTGAGCTGCTCTCCGCAGGAAGGCAGCAGCCTCCCGCGTCCACGGGAGAGGGTTTTGTTTCTTGGCCAGGCTGGGCAGGTGCGCCTTCCTTTCTCTCTTCTGTGAAGAACTGCAGGGGGGCCCTCAGCTGTGAGGCTGTGGGTGAACAGGCCTGTTTGCTCTGGGGTCTGGGCCTGGCACAGGAAGCAGCTGGACTAGGGGAGTCCTTGGAGCATCTGAGAGGAGTTTTCTTTCCTCTGGGAAGAGTTCCGAGTCTTATGACGATGCCACGATCTGGGCAGTGACCCGCGGCCCTGGGGACCTTCCTAGTACCCCCCAAAACCAAGGGAGCATTCACGTGAGATGGGGAGTCAGCCTTCCAGCTGGTGTGTAGGAAAGCCAGGTCCCTGGGCTCTTGTCCTGTGTGGGGTTGGGACCCAGATCTCCGTGAGATGTCCCCATCCTCCGCCAAGCGGTGATGCGTGACCACGCGTGCAGGCCACTGCTCTCCCAAGCTCAAGGCCATGCAGTGTGATCGTCACCAGAGCCAGCTGCAGCATTGGGGCAGTCACTGTCACTGGACTTGGGGAAGCCCAGGGTGAAGACAGTCACTCATCCGTGCAAGCTCTTCACAAGGGGTGCGATCCCTCCAGAAGGGGTGCGATCTCTGAGCAGTGGGGAGTGGAGTCACCACTTGGGACATGGAGGGTGGACAGTTCAGGCCTGTGTCTGCCTTCCTGGGACTGTGGGATGGGCACCCGGCGCCCTCAGTAAAGTGCTTCCTTGGAATGACTGAGGTCGTTTTAAATTGAGTCCCCTTCCACTCCCCCCGACATGGGCCGCTGTGGGCATGCGGGGCTTACACCAGTGCCCTCCTGCCCCACACCATGTACACCTTGGTTGGGACAGTTGGGTGGGACCTGTGGGGGCAGCTGCCTGCCTTCAGCCCCGCGGTTCCCCCCACCCCGTCCCCATCCCCACCATTGCTGCCTCCACCCTCAGCCTCCTGACGCTCCCCCTCCCGTCGCCTCCTCACCCAATGCCCCCAGCCATGGAAGACGGCCAGAAGCACGTCCAGCCCAGGGCACCCCACAGTCCCACTCCACTGCTCCCCAAGTCACCCCAGACGTGGGTTCTCAAGCCGAGCAGGCACGGGCATCACACTGTGTCCCATTCACCCAGTTCACAGGAGAGGACCAAGGGCCCAGGAGGCCGCATCACTCCGCCCGAAATGCCAGAAACGCCAACTCCATGCAGCCAGAAGTGGGCCTGTCACAGGCGCTGGCCATGGCACGTCGCCCAGGAGGGAGGCAGCCACTGTCCCAGGCATCAGCCACAGGCCACCACCTGGGTGCAGCAGCTGAGTGGCAGCTGAACAGGTTCTAACACCTCATCAGGCAGGGCAGGCCGAGGGGGGTCTACTCAGAACTGAGTCCTGATCCCAGAGGGTGTGACACAACGGAGCCCCCCAAAACATGCACGTGGTTCCCCGGGCCTGTGACGCTGTTTCTCTGTTCCTTTGAGACAGAGTTGCAGACCCGGGAGCACTGTCCTTGGACAACTGTCCCCTCCTGGGCCTGGCCCCAGGACGGCCCCGCTCAGAATGAACTAGAAGGCCCCTAGGTGTGGGCCCCTCCACCCCAGCTCCAGAGTTAAGCAATCTGGAGGTCTCTGGCACTAGGGCCAACACAGTGAGGGGCTCTTGGGAATATCAAGGTACCTGAGGGCAGGAAGGTCCCCAGCCCCCTCACCAGGTCCCCAGTGCCACCCCTCTGGCCTGAGCTCAACCAGGAGACTGCCCAGGGACCCTCAATGTGGCCTTTAGGCCCCTCCAAGCCAGGGTCTCCCTTGAGACACCTGTGTCCCGAAACCACATCCGCAGGGTGGCACTGCAGGAACGAAGCAACCCTCTCGGCAAGCACCTGCCACATTGGTGCTGCAGAGCCGTGGGTGGTGCAGAGCCGCGGGTGGTGCAGAGCCGCGGGTGGTGCAGAGCTGTGGGTGCTGCAGAGCCGTGGGTGGTGCAGAGCATGGGCTTCAACGCTTGGGCTTCAACGCTAAGGTTAACGGGCATCCTGCGAGCAGGGTGTCCACCACCCCAAACCACCTGCGGGACTCAGCCCTAGCCCCCGGTGGGCACAGCTTTGTGCCGCCTTCTCTTCCCCTCCCACGTGTCCACCATCGGTGTCTCCTGGATGCTGGCTCAAGCCAGCCACCAGCCTGCAGGTTGGAGACCCCCACTCAGGCTGAGGCTGAGGAGACCCGAGGAGTGAGACTGTAGCCTTCTACCCCCAGGGGAGGACCAGGAGGGGGCTCAGGTCACCTTGGTGGCCCCCAGGGAGTCCTGGAGAGCGCCTGTGGCCTCCCAGGGCACATGTCCCTTTGGCCTGGCCCAGGCACTGGCCAGAGGGCCCTCCACCCCTGGGGGCCGCTGCCCGCTGGGCTGGCCGTGTGGTGCTGCTCCTCTCCCTCCAAGAGTTCCGCAGGCTGTGCTCTCCAGAGACCGATGCACCCCACGGTGAGGATGATTTTATTTCTAGAAAAGGTGACAGGTGCTGCACGTGGGCAGGAGCAGGTCACAGTGAGGCAGGGCCAAGGGCATCCCCCTCTCAACACAACCCAGGCACCGGCAGCCTACAGGCCGGGTAGGGCGAGGGCTGGCCCCTGTGAGTGAGCCCGCCCAGAGTGGGGAGAGGCTGGGGCCCATGGGGCGCCAAAGCCAGGGGACAGCGGCCTGCAAACACCGACAGCCCCACGTCCCCTGGGCAGGAAGGTGGATGCCCCACGACGCTCTGTCCTCCTGCTGCAGGGCCTGGCCAGCCCCAGGGAGGCCTGGCGGGTGGCCAGGGATAGAGGCAGGGGCTGGGCTGAGCAGGGACACAGCCCCCCACCTGCCTGCAGGCTCCAGACACAACAGCCCAGGCCCCATCTGAGCCCTGGCGCTGCAGCTGGCATGGGTGGGGGCCGGGGAGGGGCGTGGGCATGGCCTCAGAAGCCCTTGTCCATGCTCAGGGTGCGACGGGTCACATGCTCCAGCTCCCCTGACACGTAGGCGGCCATGCTGATGCGGTACTGTGCCAGCATCTTCAGCATGAGCCGCAGGCTCAGCCACCACTGCTCCCGCGGCATGCGGTGCCTGTGCGGGACGGGGATGCGGGGATGATGGGGAGTCAGGGGTCAGGGCAGCTCTTCAGGCCATGCCCCCAACCCCCCCACACCCCCCAACCCGGCGGCCTGTGCATGCCCCTCCCTCTGAACATCTGGATATCCGTGGAGCCCTGCGGCCTCTGGGACGGCTCTGGGGTCCCCATCCCTTGGAGGCACAGCACAGAGTCAGCCACAGCCGCCCTCAGGCGTGCCCAATCCTGGCTGCCCACGCTGTGTCCCCATGCCCACCCAAAAGTACTGCCCAGTGTCACGCTCAGAAGACTTGGACATGGTCCCTGCTCTCCATGGCCTGGCGGGGACCGGGGCATGGGGACCCAGGAGGACATGCAGGGTCAGGGTGCGAGTGGGGCGGGGCCTGGCACACCTGCCTGGGGGACAGTCTGGGCCACCCCTCAGCCCCACCCGCCTCCACGAGGCTTCAGTGGAACTCACTCGAAATCAGTGTCTTTCTTGAGCTCAGTGACAGGGCTGAAGGCCACTGCCTTCTTCTTCAGGCCGATCACGCAGGCCGAGTCTGGGGCATTGGCGAACACCCGTCCTGCAAACAGAGCCACGTGGCAGCCCTCCAAGGCCGGGCCCTGCCCCAGGGAGCCAGGGGAGGGCGAAGTGAGGCCTCGGGTCGCACCCACCACCTACCCTTGCGGTAAACCTCACGCAGCTTCTCCGACAACCAAAGCATGGCCTTCACCCCCAGCTTGGTCCCGTAGTTCCGGTCAAAGGGGGTTGGGGCGCCGCCCTGGAAACAGGCAAGGCCCGGTTCTTGGAGCTGCCCTGGGCTGCCTGGGCCAAGGAGAGGGGAGGCCCAACCCCAGTGCAGACAGGGTCCCCACGGGGAGCCTCCCAGGCAGCTTCTGAACACCCATTCCTTCCAACCCCTGCACAATTCCCATCTGTTCCCGCATCGAGGACCCTGCCTGCTCTCTCCAGCTCCAAGTCCAGGCCAGAAGCTGCCTCCCGAGGCCGGCAGTCAGCTGCCCCCTGGCCAAGTCAAGTGACCCCTGGGCTCCTACATTGGCAGCCAGTGGCCCCACCTTGGGCCCCATCCCCAGCCACCCTGACTCCCCTTCCCTGGCTCAGAAAACCCCACGACACAGGCTTCCTGCAGGGACGCCATAGGGCAGGGAGCATGTGGGATCTAGGTGAGGGGCTTGGCGGAGGTGGCCGCAGGAGGCCCGGAGGGGTGGGGGCTGGGCTCAGCATGTGAATGTCCTGGCCCCAGCCCCGGCCCCAGCCCCGGCCCCAGCCCTTCTTGGAATGAGACCTCACCCAGATACGGGCCTCGGTCCCCTCACCGGGGAAGGGCACATGTGCCCGAGGGCCTGCCAGGAGTGCCCGTGGGTGCCTGTGAGGGCTGGGAGCCCTGGGCCCGGGGACAGATGGTGGCAGGGAAGAGGGGCAGGCCTCTCAGAGCCTCACTGCCCCACACCTGCTGCAGGTGGCCCAGGACGTTGGTCCTGCAGTCAAAGACGCCCTTGCCCTCTGATGAGTACAGGTTGTACAGGAACTCCGTGGTGTAGTAGTCGTGGCACTTCTCGTTCCTGAGAGGGACAGCAGGGCCTGAGTCAGCGGGGAACGAGTTCAGGTCTCCCCCAAATCCTGAGTCCCCGCTGGGCCAGGCCTGGGAGCGGGAGTGCCAGCTCCCGGGAAAGCCGCCCTCGCCCACCCTCTCCAAGGACCCCTCCTGCCTTCTCCTGCCCGGCCACTCCTCAGCAGCCCCGCCCCTAGGCCCTAGCGGTGGCCGGGACCCACGGCAGCCTCACCGCAGCACCAGGCCCCTCTGAATGTCTGTCTTCATCTTCTCCGTCATGTGCTCCACGTTGACCTGCGGGAGGGGCCGGATGAGCCAGAGGACTGTGAGGAGGGAATTCCAGGCTGACCAGCAACCCAGGGCCAGCAGGAGCACTGGGTTATGAGTCCCGCCTGCCCGGGCCCTGCCCTGCGCTGGCCGGCCTGAGTGTCTGGGGCCCAGGCTGGCGTGCCGGCGGGTCTGTCGCAGCAGGGGCCACGCTGGGCTCACCTTTAAGTCATGGATGTTGAAAGGGTCCTCGAAGACGTAGGCGGCGTCGGCCCCCACAGCGATGCCAGTCACGGTGGCCAGGTAGCCACAGTAACCCCCCATGGTCTCCACGATGAACACGCGGCGCTTGGTCCCCGAGGCGGACTGTTTGATGCGGTCACAGCTCTGGGGGCCAAGGGGGGTCAGGGGTCCTCCACGTGCCCACCCTTCCCTGCAGGCCATGGGCATGGCTACCCTGCAGGGAGCCCTGTGTCTCCAGAGCCAGCCTGGGGCTGATGCACCCACAGAGTCAGCAGCACCAGGCTTGGGCCCACCTCCCACCTGGGCCCCGCAGGACCAGGGGTTCTCAACCAGGTGACCCCAGCCTCAGGGTACAGGGGACAGCGGCCTGCACACACACTGTCTGTGGGCAGGCAGGGGTGTCCCCGGCCCCATGGACAGAGGCCAGGCACTGCTCTTAGGCTACCCAGCACTGGGGCAGGGACACTCCTGCCTCGGTCTCCCCGTCTGAGTTCATCACAGTAGCGAGGAACAACGCAGGGCCCCCGGCCCTAGAAGTGGCTATGGCAGGGAGCTGAGCCCCTTCACCTGGGCCTGTGTCCCA